CACCCTGGCCACCACCTACCCGGTCCGCTTGGCGCAAGCGCTGCTTCCGCCGCCGCCTCTTGTGCTTGCGGACCAGCCGGGAGGAGGTGCTCTGCTCGGTGGAGCTGCTCAGCCTGCGGAGGGGGCACCGTTGAAGGCCGAGGGCAAGGAGCCCGCGCTGCGCCCTCATCCCCAAGGCCAGGGCCGGCCGGCCCTGCAGATGCCCACAACCCGCGGGGCCACACCACCGCACATGCACCCCCACAGGCCCGCACGTGCCCCCACACACAGGGCCCGCACTTGTGCTCGCCTACGTGCCTGCTCGTGTCCTCGTCGTCCGAGTCGGCGAAGCTGCTGGACTCCAGCTCGCTGCTCAGCGCGGTGGAGGCGCTATCCGGGGGCAGTCCCAGGTCGCGCCGCCGCTCGCCCCTCGGGTGCCCATTGGCCCGCGCAGCTGTGGAGACACCGGGGATCACGGTGGGGCCCCCAGGTGAGGCGGCCCAAGGCCTGCGGGCCAGGGAGAGGCTGGCGGTGGCCCGACAGCAGGTGCCGGGCCCTGGGAGTGGCGGGGCCAGGGGGACGATGGGGGCCGGTTACCCTCCTCGCGGTTCCTGCGGCGGAGACGATCCCGCCGATGGCTGACCACGGACTCGGTGCCGGTCTCGTTGTCCATCCCATCGCGGCTGCTGGCCACATTGGGGCTGTGCCAGCAAGAGGGCGGCTGGGGCAGGCTGGCGCCCTGGCAGGGTGCCCGTGGGGCCCAACCCGGCAGGTGCCCCCCACCCCTTGGAGCCTGTCTGCGCCCCACCTCGTGGCTCGCTGTTCAGCGGCCTTTCCGCCCCAAGACCCCTGGGCTCGGCCCCCCATCTCGAGTCTTACTGGAAGGAGGGGGGCCGGGAGTCCCCGATGCCACCCATCCTCTCGAGAGGAGGGGGCAGCTCTGCGTGGCCCTCGGTGGCCTGAGACCCCGCATCCAAGTGGGCGCCCTCCGCCAGGACCAGCTGCAGAGGAGAGGGCGTCTCAGGCACGCAGACGCCCACGCTGGCCAGGGCCCCCCAGAGGCGACCGGCCGCCCGCGCTCACCCAGGAGACCACGCGGCCGTTGAAGCAGGGCAGCTTGGCGTTGTCGTCGGCAACCTCCTCTTTCACCACCCTGCGGCAGACGCGAGGCCGCGGCCGGTGGTCAGCACGTGCACCCTCCCGGGGCCAGTCCCGGGGTCCAGACCCCACCCCTGCAGCCCCGGGGCTGTGCACACCGGCCGGAGGGCTCCTCGTGCCACCGGCCCGGGAACTGTTCAGGCCCCAGCGGACGTGAGGACCGCGGGGCCTGCTCAGGGGTCACACCCTCACAGGCCGCAGGGGCCGCGCCCACCCACTGGGCTGGGAAGGGCCAGACCCCACTCTCCACAGCAACCACAGACCGCAAGGGCAGCAGGCGGAGCTGGCCGGGCCCGGGCGCTCCCAGCCCCAGAGGACAGTGATCAGCAGCCCCCTGCCCAGTGTCCCGTCCCGGGCAGGGGGGCTGGAGGTACACAAGACCCCCAGGCAGGACGCAGAGGGCCAGAAACAGGTGGGGGTCCAGATCAGGGGCTCCCAGAGACCACGACTCTAGCCACTTTGCTGCAGGCCGCGGGGAGCCCGGGGTGGGGGGCAGGGCGGCACCCAGCGGGGCTTCCAGCCCAGGACCTGGGCCAGGCGGCAGCAGGCACTGGAGGCCGGCAGGAAGCAGCCTCGGCCTGCTGGGTGGACGCCTGGGCTCAGCCAGTCCCAGGGCAGCAGGTGGTGGCGGAGGGCCCTGCCAAGCGGGCAAGCCGAAACCCCAGTGGGGAGCAGCCCGTCCACCCCGGCGCAGAAGGGGCGCCCTGTGCCGGGCCCCGCGGCGCGACGCCTCCCAGCACGCCAGCCAGGCGAGCCCCTCAGAAACTGGGCCCGCTGCTCAGGACCAGCGCCGAGGAGGGGCCTGACCCCACCCGGACTGGTCAGAGGCCCAGAAGGACCTTCTTCTGACCCCCAAGAAGACCGGGACTGGCCTGGAGGCACCTGGAACTCTGCCCACGGCTGCTGGGCCAGGGGCAGGCGCTCCCCACACCTGCGATGAGGGGTTGGCACTGCCCCCAGCCCAAGTGGACCAGCGCCCCGGCTCCAAGCCGAGCCCGCTGACTCCTGGGGAGCCCGGCTCGCCCAGCAGTGGCGGCCAGGACTCCGGTAGCACCTAGCCCACTGCTCCCGCAGGGTGGTGACCTGTCAGCACCCATGGGGCCTGCTCCCAGCCCCAGAGCCCGAGTCTCCCCCACCACACAGAGCACCCCACCTCCGGGGCACAGTGGGTGCACCCCGGGCTCGCTAGGCCGGCACCGCAGGCCGCCACCCGCAGCCCTGTCTTCCGGGGGCGCTGGGGGAGGGAGAGGTGGCGGGAACGCCTTGTCCAGCCTGGAGCCCCAGGCAGGGCTCATGGTCTAAGTGCCCCCCACCCGAGGGGTGGCCACCCAAGGGCACCCCAGCTGGCACTGTGCCCCCAACCTCAGAATGTCCGGCAAGATCCTGCTTAACCCTGAACTTGCGCCCGCCCTGCCCCACCCGCCCCTGCAGAAGCCCCAGGAGAGGAATCTGCTCAGAGGGGGACCCAGCACTCAGGGGGCGCACGGCAAGTGGGGGCTGCCCAGGGCCCCAGGGCCGAGCGCCTGGCTCGCTCCCGCCCCCCACCCTGCCTCGGACACTGAGAGTCACCGCCGGCCTGGGCCAGCAGGGCAGCTGGGGGCCAGGGCTGGTGAGCCAAGCGCCCTCACAGCTGGAAGGCGGCCCGCACCTCCCTGCACCCCGCCCTCGCCCAGGGCCTGTCACCCCCGGCCAGCCCACCGCAGGCCGGAGACCCCTGCCCTGCCGCCACGACAGCTCGGCCTGCACCAGGTGGGCAGTGAGTGCACGCCGGAGAGTCAGCGAGGGGCCAGCCCAGCGCCAGTGGCCAGCTGTGTCCAGGTAGGGGTTTGGGGGCGCGGGGCCTGGCCCGCGCCAGGATGGGGCTAGGGCGGGAGGCCCCAGCCCGGCCTCCAGCTCCTCCTCCTGTCGCTGCCAGGCCCCCAGGTGCCCCAGAGCACTAGGGCCTGGGCCCGCAGGCAGGGTGGGGTCTCTCCTGGCCAGAGGGGCGGGGAGACCTGCCAGCCCTCCGTCCCCCCAGTCACCGCGCGCCTGGCGAGGCCGCCCCACCCTCCCCTGCCGGCACCACCAGGCCCAGGACCCCTGCTTAGGCCCGACCAGCCGGCCACCATCCGGGTGGGGCACCGGCCACGGCTGGCTCGGGCACCAGGTGGGGTCTGTGCAGCCCGGGGCTGGAGCAGGCGGC